TTAAGTTAATAAATTTATTTTTGGTCAAGAAGGTTTTGTTTTACTTTTGCTTTTCTCTTTTCTGTGGAAGGGGATCTTTCCACGTTCAAGCTACTAGGTGTTAGCATTGCCGTGAACCACGCTCTGCTACCAGGTGTCAGCTTTGCTCTATCCTGCGGTTACCTAAACTTACCTTAAGTCCGGGAAATGGCTCGCAGTTTCCAAAGCCCACGTACAGCGAAATCAGCAGAGTGTAAAGAAAAGTAAAATGTAATTAATAATTGATAATTGAGCGAACGGAGGAGCTTAATCGGTGGAGACAAAAAGCACTTACGGTTTAACCAGTTAGAGAAGCTAGGATCAGTCCGCTGCAGAGATCAGGAGCCGAGTGCCTATTAGCTCGAAAATTTGATTGACCTACCTTCTGTGATGGAAGGGGGCATTTGTCCCACCTAAACGTGTCCGTAGGCGACCCCTAGCGCCTCGAGACAATACAAATTAAACAAAAAATACTCATTGGTACAAAATTGAGCATAAGAGGAAACAAACACCTGAAAAAATTAAATGTCCAAAATGGCCACGTTCTTGAAGAATGCCAATCTGAAATCGTTTCTGACAGATTTTCCTGCTTTCAAAAGTCCTGCTTCTGTATGCCATATTTCTGATAGACTTTATATTGTCTTTGCTTGAGATTAGAATAAAAGTCAAAAACGAAAGTCATAGGATTCTCATTTATCTTTTCATTTGTTTAGTCAAATTTAGCTAGATTAACATTTTGTGAAATTCGGAGGACTTATAGCGTAAAGTTGTGAAAGCTGAAAAGTGAAATATCGAGAATACAATTGAGATTTATATATTAGTGCAATAGGAACAATTTAATCAAATTTGTCATGATGGAAAACATCGCGAAGTATTGACGTCCGTTAACGGGACCCTGTATGTCGAGAATGTTACGATACCCTGAAAAAGGCACGCGATACCGAACAATTTACCCAACCAATTCAATCCCCTTAATTTATTTTTATTAATATAATAATAAAAAAGTCTTTACTTGCAAATACAATTACAATATAATACATTCCTTTCTTTATTCCTTAAGCTAGGCATACTTATAGCCATTGTGGCCGTTTGAGGGATTGTTTTAAAACAACCCAAAAACAATCACCTTATTAGAAATATCAAATACAAATCATTAATGTAAAATAATATTGGCAACATTTTAACATATTTCTTTACTGTAAGTACAGATACTTAGAGAAACTACTAGAGAAAATTTATCTTATATTTTTGATAAATAAGTTTCCAAAATCGGTCTTTCAGCAGCGGTAATTGGGAAAAATCTATAGTTTTTCATTTATTCATATGGTAAAAATGAATGAGAAACCCTAGTCAAACAGTTTCCGATAATCATAAAATCCAAGACGATTGTACATTTAAACAATAAAATTACATTTCCTTTCATGCCATAATCGTTTTTTTAACGATCCAGGCCCAAGCTGTCGTTCACCAAGTTTTCTCTTGACTAGGCTGGTAGTGGAGAATGGTGTCAGCACTTCTAGAAAGGCTTTTAAAGATCATTTTCAATACTTTTACAGGTTTTCAAACAGTAAATTTACAAATTATAAAAATTCAAGAACTAACGAAACTATTCGTTGTTTATAAGTTTCATCTTGAAGATTTTGTAACAATATAATCACCAAACTTCAATCATTTCCTAGAGGTATCGAGGACGTTTTATCAGCTGTTGATAACATATTCATAATTATATGTGATTATGTACATATAAATTATATCCAGTTTAATAAGGACTGAGAGAACATTTCAATCCGTTGAAACTGTAATAAATTTCGGTCGACCTTGACAATGAATAGCCCCCAAATATAATAGGATTTTAAAATTAGCGACAACGTATTTGCAAGGACTTGGCAATAAATAACTGGCTATAAATAAATAATAAATTCAACCTCAAGGGTTCAGAGAAATCATCTTATAAATTCATACATATATCGTCTTATGCAATTTGATTACTATTCGCGACGTCCTTGACATCACGGATGTGGGTGTGCAAAAGTATTTTTCCTTCATTTTCGATTGATTCTTAAAACCAGCACATCTTACGTCATACATTTTTACATAGCAGACAATGATGATTGAGTCTGTCGAATAATATTTTCGTTAGTAGGGTTGCCCCATCTGCTGACGTATCCCCAAGCACTGTAGCCTTTATTTTATTTTATTTTTTTTTTTTTTTACATTATTTAGCTGTAGCAATGTGTTTGGCAGATTAGGAGAAATGTTGAACGTTATTATTCTGGCACCTCAAGGCTTTTATTTGCCCTTTTGCTTTGTGTGGAGCCATTATGAGATTGAGGAGTCTGTTTGATCTTGTAATCCCAAATATACAGTGCTCAAAATTTGGACGTTTTTCATAGGGATAAACGAGGCGGCCACAAGGTCTCGGCTCTACCTTGACCTTAGAAGAGCTATTTTGCTCCCCCGTTTTTTATAACTCACTGACCAGCTTGAGGTTGTTAATCAACCTCATAGCCTTACCAGCAGCTCCTTAGTGTAGGATCTTGCTTGCGATTTTTCTTGTCCTTGTTGCAAGAACCTGCACCTACATAGACCTTCACAGAAACATAGAATATGTACTGCAGTCTCTTCTTCTTCCTGGCAGTACCTGGACAGTGTTCAATTGGACCAGAATCCTGGTTCGGTTGCGGATGCCTTCTAGTAAACAGAACATAAAATGAATACTCAGGTATTCATTATTGTACGATAGAATCCCAATGATACCAAGAAGGTTAACTTCGAGAAAAAAAAAACGATAATTACAATAAGGGGGTCATTGACATTCGAGTTGGAGTATTGATGTATTCTTCTATTTCAACTAGATCTCAGATACCTATCGCTCCAGAAATTGTACCAAATATTTAAAAAAAAGCTTTTGAAACTAGTAAAACATCTAAATACCAAAAAAGCTTGAAAATGTAGATGTTTGCAAATTATCTCCTACCAGTTGACGTGTGTTGCGAGTTGGAGCTTGGATTATTAGACAATTTTAACACATTGATATTTTGAAACACGTATTGACAATTAGATAAGAAAACTAAAACAGAACATAAGATAAAACCATAATACCATAAGGTCAAAACAAGTGAGAACATATTTTTTGCTTGCAAAAGAAATCTGAACTCTGTATTAACCGTTTTTAACTTTAAATTAACCTTTTTTGAAACATCAAAAGGAGATGGTTCAAAATTAAGAATGTAATACTTGTATACTTGGGAATAGTTTTTGCTAATATAAAATTATTGTGCTCTTCGAAGATCATATGATAATAAGTTACAATTAAAATTTTAAAACTTATAAAATAAGAACGTATGACTTCTTTTAATTTGCTTTTTTAAATAAAATAATTGGCCTCTTAAAACCTACACAACGGATGAAAATTATATAAAATTAAATACGAAAACAAATGAAAAAACAAAAACAAACTTCTATAAATTGAAATTTTTTTCAACGACAAAATAATCCTTTCTAAAAACCACAATTTCATCCTATTTTCCTATTCAAAATAGGATCAATCCTATTCAATGAAAAAAAGAATCCTTCATTTTTTTATTTAATCCTATATAATTTTAAATTCTAATTTTAACTCATTTTTATTTAGTCATTTAAGAGCTTAATTAATTTATATTTTTAAACATTTTTAAATAAAAATATAAATGGATTTTACTTTACATGATCATATTTCAAACAATCTCTCAAATTATTTTAATGCTCCAAAGAAAGGAATAATTTGAAATTAAAAACGGTTAATTTAAAAATAAAAAGGTTAATATGACGAAAAAAGGTATATATGAGTTACTTAACTCTAAGGGGTTGCTTATAACCCCGCCCCGAGGAATATCAAGTACTCTGGGGTGAATATATGACGTCTGGAGAGTAAAAGTAATTTATTAGCGTGAAAGGAAGGGGTTGCCTATAACCCCGCCCCGAGGAATATCGAGTACTCTGGGGGAATGAATGTGACCAGACATCTATGTTTGTGGTGATGTATATATATGTATTGTATGTTTTGTTTTTATTCTGTATTTGACAACCTGAGGTACAAACGAGAGACTAGCATTCTAGAATATGCATTCTAGTATATATCTGAAATCAGAGAGTCAGTAACCAGATCGAGACGCTCAAATGGCTGCAGTTTAAAACAAAATATGCGCGAAAGAAAAGAAAAAGATGGAAAACACGCAGAGGGCCGGCGATGACCTCAGCTGTTTCTTGGCCCATAAACTTCCCACTTATATGAGTTACTTCCATTTTATAATTTTAAACTATAATTTTAATACAGTATAGTCATTTAAGAGCCCAATTATATTTTAAAAAATTTCTTAAATATCCATGAATTGTACTTTTCAGGCTTATTATATTAATACCACCTCTTAAGTTTTTTCCTCATGCTCTAAAGAAAGGGATAATATGAAATTAAATAGGGTTAACTTTCAGCCATAAAATATCTTAAATCGTATTACAGCAGTTTCAGTCAATATGCCTTTTCTAAGAATGGGTGTCAACTTTTTTTTACCGACAAACAACAAGGACATAGTCGGTTCTCATAGCGTTTCTTTTTTCTCGCTCTTGTGCATTATTCTCCTCTGCATTTCTTTTTTTAATCCTCTGCAATTTTTTTACCTTTGTAGATCTAGTTTGATTTGGCTATTGCTGTACATGCCCGAATTATTTAGTTCCCGTCCAATCTATTTATTTCTCGAGAAATAAAATATTAATGGATGATTTAGTAGTATCTTTCCTTAATGTTTCATCATCTGTCAGACCACACTGCTCACTAAAAATGCTTGACTGTCCTATGCTTGGGTACTTGACCTGCTTCGACTGTAAATAAATAAAATAAAATAAAATAATTTCACCTTTCTGTAAGCTTTGTTGACCTTTCATATTTTGTTAAAATAAATCAAAAACTAACATTATTGCAAAGTAATAAGTGCAGTGCAACAATAAAAAACGCAAATATTTATTCTAACGTTATATGTTAAAAAATGTTATTTGACAAAAGTGATACAAAGCAGTTGTTTTACAGCAGATTCAGGTAATTTATGGAGTACGAAGGATCCTTGATTATTCAACTAATTTCAACTAGGAGTTCGTGTGTCACGTACACGGTACTTCGTTCGACTTCCGTCGTCGCCCTTGGATTGTGTATGATGATTTTACATTGTGCATCGTAATGTGGTTTGACCTTTCGACAACGAAGCAGGATGGTAGATGGGACGTAATTAGTCTTCTACATAAAAAGAAATGCGAAATTAATTTTATACTTTCTGTTCAAACTGCGGAACAAATAAAAATAATACAAAAAAGCTTTAAATATTTCAATCATTTTTAATTGTTCAACGTGATATGCACAAAAGAAAGACATTTTACGTTCAAAGCAGGAACAAAAAACAATTTAGCTTTATTAGAAAATGTTAATTAGGCAACACAGATTACTATGTTATTTTTCAAGTTTGGCCAAAATTTAGGAAACAATAAGTAAGAAAGGGCCTCGGTGATCACAACCAACGGTTTAGTCGTTGACACGGCGGTCATCACTTTAAGGTAAAGGTCCCGGGTTCGAATCCAGCGGCCCTTCATTCGAGCCAGATATACTTACAAACGTTTATTTTTCCTTTTTTATAACCGACACCTCAAGGGTTGTTATGACCTCTGCTTTTAGGAATCCTCGTAAAAAAATGTTATTAAAAACAGCTGGCAAACCCGAATCCATCTGTTGTGAGTAAATTTTGAAACTTTGAATTCCACTGTACTTGCCTATTAATTTCGAATAATAATAATTATTATTATTAAAATATGAAAAGATTTGAAAATTAGGAGATCTAGCAAATAATATCCCTATGAGTTGCTAATCTGAACGAGAAACTCTTCATCAACCCGTTCAGCATAGAATGGCGTGTAGGTAAGAAAGAACGGTCTCCGGGTTTGACTCGAATAGTTTAAACGTTGACAATGAAAAGAAATATATGCTTACTTACTATATGCTTAGTTCACGGGTAAAAGTATATTCTTGTGAAGCGTCCTTTTTCAATCGCAATAGAAGTAAATATGGCTCCGAATTGGATATTTTCAGTGGATAACCATCGATGGATGGAGATAAAGCCAATATCGTGACAGAAGGAACCCTCTCAACTTCCGCGTTATCAATCGTACAAGCATTTTTGAGCCTCTTGGACTCTTCTTTTCTCATAACAGTACATGGCCGCTTGCGATTATTCTGAGTGGTATTCTGCTTTTAACAAAATTAAATAAATGAGCTAATATGTATGATGAGGGTGATGAGCTTACCATTTTTGGAATTTAGGAAATTTCTAACTACTTATTTATTTGAAAATTATTTGCCAGAAAATACTAACACTGCTTGATAAATTAGCTTAGCAACGGATTTATAAAAAAACTAAAAACAATCATAAACATATGTGCAATTTGTGTTTTGTTTTCCTCACAGGAAAAACGCTTTGATTTACGTAAGCCAAAAAATTTTTTTAAAAAAAATGCGGATTAAAAAAAAACGTTCAAACAATAAAATATATATTTTTTTAAATTTTCTAATATAGATAAGGGTACAGCGAGTATTTAATATATATATATACATATATATACACACACATATTCAATTCGAGCAAAACCATAACTGGCGCAGTAGGTTGAGGACAATTCTCGGGTTCGCGGCATACGAACTTTACTGATTTATCAGCCAGAAAAGTGCGGATCAAGTTCATCAAGAACATCAAGATCATGGGATAACAACTCTCATGAAGATCTTCGTAACATTAAATTGTAAATTCACTAATTTCGTGGTCCGCTTGACCAATTAATATATGACAATTAATTGAGGTTTTTATTTGAGATAAATAAGTCAATGACACGAGCGGGATTCGAACCCCCTATCTTCGGCTAGATACGCCGTTGCTCTACCACTTGAACCATTTGAAAAATGGCAAAAAGGAGGGAAAATTCAAAATGTGGGGTTGAGATGGGAAGTTAGTGTCCAAGTGGATCGAGGTCACGATAGCTCAGGTGGTAGAGCAGCGGCGTATCTAGCCGAAGATCGTGGGTTCGAATCCCGCTCGTGTCATTGACTTATTTATCTCAAATAAAAAGCTTAATTAATTGTAATATATTAATTGATCAAGCGGACCACAAAATTAGTGAATTATAGGAAACTATCACACGGGGAAAACCAATCATCGTGAAATAGATGAAACTGAAGCAGCCATTAAAAGACTATATTATTGACCCAATCAACGGAAATCAATACAATCTTTTATTAACCAATGCAAAAGTAACCTGTTAGTGATGTATGATTGAAGGCCCTTCAAGCTAAAATTTAATGTTACCCCTACACCAACAAAACCTTTCGAAATAGTACACATAGACTCATAACACTATATGTATAATACACAATTTCTTACTATTATAGATACATTCTCACGAGTTGCACAAGCCTATAAACTTAATTCAGGGCAAGCAATAGAAGTAGTAAATAAATTGATTAAACATTTTAGTAGGCGTAATACACGGAGTAATATAAGCTTTCAATCTACTCTAACTGAACATATTCGACTTTTGAACTAAAAACATTTGCAAAAAGAAACAATAAAAAATAAATTAATCTATGCGATACTCGCGTACAATAACACTATTCACTAGTTACAAAACTGAGGCCAGTTGAAATAATTACAGGACATGTACAGCAAGAATCTCCATTAAGTACGAATTTAGAGACTCAATTTTTTGCATGATTATATTAATAAACATAAGGAGAAAATAGAAATAATGTATAAAGTAATCAATGGAAATAGTTTAAAACATAAAGAAACAGTTATACGAAAATTCAACAAAGATAGAGAAGAAATCTCAGTTATTCCCGAAAAGTATATGTAAAAAACAAACAGAAACAATCGAAAACAAAAAAATTGTGTAAAAAAGAAAAAAGAAGATTTCTTAATCCTTTAAGGAAAACATCTATAATTGAAAAATCCCATCATGATACCAAACATAATATTCATACAGCAAACATAAAACGACCTCGCAAAACAACTCATCAGTTAATACCAGAAATGTCGATTTTAAAATACCTAGAAAAATTATTTAACAAATTCACGCTGTTCCTCATCGTCAAAGGAACTACCGTCAGAGATATAACACATGGTGCAGGAATTCTAACAATTAATCTGGCCCCGCTAAATTACAAACAAAAAAGCACACATTAATACATTATTATGACCTCAAAACTATATATATTCAGTCGGTTGCCCATGAGGCTTGAGCCTTTGGGGAGTAAACATCGGCCGTGTTTATCGCTCCAAGGGATTAACAACGCTTCCTCCATTGAAGTTTCTCACGAAAAACCTTATTATTTTCTTCCTTTTTTTTTAAATTGTTTCTCTACGAATACCTTTTGTTATTTTTATTTTTATTTATTTAATCTGGGTTTTTTCGTCCTCGGGCTGTTAAGTCTGGACGTCAATAACAGCCAAGATGTGGGACCCCCGTGTAAACCCAAGCACGTGCTTAAATTTAAAGACTTTTTTGCGCCCAAAACGACCTAGAACTGTAAATTCAAATAACAAACGAATTTACGATGATAACTGAAATTACAATTCGAAAGTCAAAGTTCTGGTGACGACAGAAGACGAATTCCAGGCAGCCAAAGAAACTCGGCGCCTACATTTCCAAAACCAATGTTCAAACAATCAGTATGGAAAAGATAATACAGGTCCATAATTTGTGTTTGATGAAAGTACAATTCCCGATTTAAATTTAGGCATGCCCACCGTATGCTATTCGGCAAGTGGCTTTTCTAAGAGGAATCTACCTAGACAGTAACTGTATAGTCCAAATTCGCACAATTGGAAAAAAGAAGCTAAAGATTTGGACTTAAGACAGGGAAACAGCTAATTTTCTTGTTAAGTGTCAATCCCCAAAAAACCACAACATAATTGCCTACATTCCTGACTCTGCAATGAAAAAGAAAGGTGCGATAAGGGGTGTAGATTTAGAGCTTTCTGAGGAGGAAATACTTTTAAACATGAGATCCGTGATTCCGGCATTTTCAGTTGAGGGAATGAAAAAAATTGAGACGGAAAAACTATCAAAACAATCCCTATTGAAACATGCGTCGTGACATTCGTGAGGCAATATATCCCACAGTACATTACCATTTACGCCAGTTATTGTCCAGTCAAACCCCCTATTTCTTCGGATAGTTGGAGTTTCTGTTGTTGACACCAACTGTGGACTATATTGATTGCTTCTTCGCTTCTTTCCTTTATTTCTCTTATGCTGTTACCATCTACCACAAGAGCCAAGTCGTCCATGAAAGCAGTTGCATTAATCCGATTTGTTTCCATTACCTCCAATATTCCATTAAACGATATAATCCAAATGAGTGGTCCAAGGATGGAGCCCTGGGGGCATCCCAGGCTCACCTCCTTGAACAACTCATCATTTGCTATTTCTGTTGTAGCGTATCTTTCATGGAAGTAACTCTTGATGACTTTAAGCAATTGATCTTTGATTCCTTTGTTGTAGAGGTCCACTATTACTTTTGACCACCCATAAACTATCGAAAGCTGCTTTGATATCGATGTAGATCGCCGCTATATACTTCCCTCTTTTGCATTTAAAATTGGAAGTTCTGTAGTGCGTCCGTGGTCGACATGAATTTCATGCTTCCAAATTGTCTTTGTATTAAGGTTATCTTCTTTTTTATTCTTTCAGCAATCAAATGTTCCAACAGTTTACTGAAAACAGGTATCAAACTAATTCCTCTGTAGGATTGTTTTTTGGTTCTTTCTTTACCTTGTTTCAGCAAAAGTTTTATTTTTGCTATTTTCCAGTATCGAGGGAAATATCCTAGTCTTAAGCAATCGTTATATATGCCAAGTAGTTCCATTTTTATTACTTGCACACTCTTTTTTACTATTACTGGGTCTATTTTGTCTCTTCCAGGTGCTTTATTAAGTTTTATTTTTCCTATTGCATGATCCATCTCCTCTCCCGTAAAACTCGGTTGGTCGTTTATTGTTTTTATGTTATTGTATTGCCTTCGTATTTCTTTTTGTGCTGTAGTTTCTGTTGCTTCCTGATCCTGTGGGAAGATGTAGTCAAGGATGACGTTCATCGATTCGCTCGTTGTTTCGGTTTCACTGGATCCTTCTTTTATTTTACAAATCTCGTTCGGGATAATTTTTTTCATAGTGATTTTGTAGGGTAGTCCGCATAGGTTCTCTCTTCCCATTTCTGTCACAAAGTTTCTCCACCCCTTCCTTTTTTCATATTTTATTTTATTATGGAATTTTCTTTTTATCCTTTTTTACTGTTGTTTGATTTCTTCTTTTTCTTCAGCATGTGTTGCATTTAGATATCGTCTTTTTGTTTGATTTGTTTGTTTTTTCAAATATGTTAGTTCGTTATTCCACCAAGGTACTTTTTGTTTGCATGTGGTTTTTGTTTTCATTGTATACTTGCATGCTTTATATATCATTGAATTTATTAATTGTACTTTGTTGTCAATTTCCTTTTCACTTATTGATGGCCATAATAATTGTTGGTTTGTAAATTGCAGTTGGTGTGTTAGGGCACGTTTGTAGTCTTCCGAATCTACATCTTTTGTTGAGAAGCTTTTGGTGTCAATTTCTTTGATTGTTTTTGCTTCCATGCCCATTTCTAGTTTTATTAATGCATGATCACTTGTAGTTTCTTCCATGTTTATTGAAAACTTTTTGATTTTGTTTTCTATCGCCTGAGATACTGCACACACATCAATGTGGGTTTGCCCAAATGGTCCTGCGTATGTTGGTGGGGATTGTGGTGTATTTAGTATTTTTAGTTTTGTATTTTTAATAAAACTTGCGAAATCTGTTCCTCTTTTATCCAACGTGCTTGATCCCCATATTGGGTTGTGTCCATTTACATCGGCCATTAGTATCATATTTTTCCATTGTCCTCCGCGGATTTTTTCGAGTAATATATTCTCTATTTTTCCGTATTTTTCGGCGTTTCTGTCAGATTTTTTTATTGGTATGTATATTGACAAGATCGTTATTACTACTTTGTTTATTACTATGTTGGCTGCACTTATGTATTCCGATCCTTCAGGTGAGACATCAATAAAATCAAGTTCTTTATTCATGCAGTAGATGATTGTTTTCGCGTTTTTGTTTCCTGCTTTTCTCGTTTGTAATCCCATTACATTGTCATCCTGAGCTCCTTTCCATGTTTCCTGGACTGCGATTATATCAGTATTTTCATTAACGGCTATGTATCTTAATTCATTACCAACTTTTTTAGATCTGTTTATATTTAACTGTAATATCTTTAGTTTGCCATTATTCTTAAATCTTTGTTTTGGTTTATTGTTCAGGTTATTCAT